CTTAAATCAATGGTTTGGGTCAGAAGGAAGAAAGAAACATTCAAGCAGAATAGAATGAAGAAATGAGATTTCAAAAAAATGGGGAGAGGCTTAGGAACCCCTAGGACAACTTTAAATGTGCCAACATCTGAATCATAGAGGTGCCAGAAGGAGAAGAAGAAGAGCAAGAAATGGAAAACTTATTTGAAAACATAATGAAGGAGAACTTCCCCAGTCTGGCAAAGGAAATAGATTTCCAAGAAGTCCAGGGAACACAGAGAGGCCCAAAGCAGTTGGACCCAAGGAATCACACACCAAAGCACATCATAATTCCATTACCCAAGATTAAAGATAAGGAGAGAATCTTAAAGCAGCAAGATAAAAGGAGACAGTTATCTACAAAGGAGTGCCCAGAAGACTGTCAGCTGATTTCTCAAAATAAACCTCACAGGCAATAAGGGGCTGGAAAAAAGTATTTAAAGTCGAGAAAGGCAAGGACCTACACCCAAGATGACTCTATCCAGCAGAGCTATCATTTAGAATGGAAGGGCAGATAAAGTGCTTCCCAGATAAGGTCAAGTTAAAGGAGTTCATCATCAACAAGCCCTTATAGTATGAAATGTTAAAGGGACTTATCTAAGAAAAAGAAGTTAAAAAATATGAACAGTAAAGTGACAACAAGTTAGTAACAACCAAACCTAAAAAAAAAAACAAAAAAGCAAACTAAGCCAACAACTAGAACAGGAACAGAACCACAGAAATGGAGATCACACGGAGGGTTAGCAACAGGGGAGTGGGAGGAGGAGAGAGGGGGAGAAGGTACAGGGAATAAGAAGCATAAATGGTAGGTAGAAAATAGACAGGGGGAGGGTAAGAACAGTACAGGAAATGTAGAAGCCAAAGAACTTACATGTACGACCCGTGGACATGAACTAAAGGGGGGGAATGTGGGTGGGAGGGGGTGTGCAGGGCAGAGGGAAGTGAAGGGGGCAAATGGGACAACTGTAAGAGCATAGTTAACAAAATACATTAAAAAAAGAAAAAAGGTATGAACAGATGTCTTCAGTAGGGAAACAGAGGTGAATAGAGCAGCTATTTTGAAGGCCTACTCCGTTTTAAAAATGTATACATAAGACTGCACCAAAGGGTAGTTTTGTTATTTTACCACATTTTTTAAAGGGCAAAGAGCTTTTAAACATTTCTTAAAATGTTTAATAGTAAAACCAAAAGATATGCCACGTCAAAACTCCCAGTGGTCAGCCAAACCATCAGGAATAGCAGTTTTCTTCAAAAAAAAAATGTGCAGCCTAGTTTGCAGAAAATATGGTTATCATTAAACGTTACTTTTTATTTCCCTCCAAGTGTCTATCTGGTTCAAGTAATGAATTCTAAATTTTTGTTTGCTAAGTTTATTGCAAATGTGCCAAAATTCGACATCTGCAGTTCTTAGTATATACTCCGCTGAGAAAAACAAAGTGTCCTTTTAATTAGGTTTGATTTCAGACCCACAAACAAAACAATGAAGTCATTCTTTCCCTCGCTTCCCAGGAGCGATGCGCACCCCAGCCAGTAGCTGGGGCTGAGGCCGGGGGATTGGGGGGGGTGGGGGGGGTGGGGGGGGTGGGGGGGGCTGGCTGGGACCCGCAGGCCCTCTCTCCCCGGCCGGCCCGCACTCCTCTGGGCTCCGGCCAGGTCCTCGGCCCGTGCGGAGAACAACCCCCAAGAGGCAGCGCACGGCGTCCTGAGGGTCCCAGGCTGCCGCACCTTCCCGCTGGCCTTCAAGGGCCTTCTCTGTTCCCCGCATTCGGAGGAGAAAGCCAAGGACGGGATGCGGTGGGAGGAGTGCGGCGACCCGCGAACTGCGCTCTGGGCCTCCGGACTGGAAAAGCAGCGCGCAGGAGACGCGCTGGCCCGGAGAGGTGGCGCCTGGGCCTGGAGGTGAAAGACGACTGGACGTGGGCTGGACGGACGCGGGGTTCCATGCGGGCGGGCGTGTGTGTTCGCGGGTGGGGTGTGCGCGTGGGGGTCACCGCGGAGAGCAGCGGAGGCCGATGTGCAGCCCAAGCGCGCGCCAAGGTGTGACCGGGGAGCCGGACTGGACGGACCGCGCCGTCGCAGTGTGGGGCCCGATGGACCACGCGGAAGCAGACGGTCGGGGGTTGGGTCCCGCGGGGGCGGCTGATGGAGGGAGTTCAGCCTCCATCCCCCCAGCTCGGGGGTGACCCGAACAAGGGGGAGACGTAACTGAGTTTGGGGTGTTGAAGGGTTTCTGGTAACAGAGAAGCAAGAGGAGGGGCAATGAGAGGCAAAAACTATAGTAAGAGATCCAAGTGAAAAATTGTGGCAGAAAAAGTGGGTATCACAGGAATAGTCATGAACAAAAGATTAAGGGAACAGAATGTTGAATCCGTATTTGCCACAAATACATGAATTTTTGGCAAAGGCGTCAAAGCAAATCGATAGACAAAAGATAGTCTTTTAGGAAACGGTGCTGGAATCACTGTCCGTAGTGGGTGTGTGTGTGTGGGGGGGGGACCTTGGTTTATCCCTGCATCTTAAAAATTAATTCAAAATGAATCATATACTTCCACATAAAACAACTCTAATAGAACTTCTGAAAGAAAACATGTTAGAACATTTGTTGACCTTTGGTTAACAAAAGGTTTCATAGATGTGATACCAAAACCACAATTCATAAGAGGAAAAAAAATAGGACAAATTTGACTTTGGTGCCTTGAAACACACCGCCAAGAGAATGAAAAGACAAGTCACATGCTAGGAGAAAACACTGACAGCCTATGCAGCTGGTAAACCACTCGAATCCAAAATACATGAAGAATCTCAGAGCTCTATAGTAACAAATTGTTAAAGTCAACCCAATTAAAAATTGGCAAAATATCTGAACAGGTACTTCACCGGGGAGACATACAAATGTCACGTAAACATGTGGAAATCATGTGTTAGGGAAATGCGGCTTTAGTGCCACAGTGAGATACCGCTCCACACCTATCGGAATAGCTAATATTAAAAAGTTCGACCATGTCAAGTGTGGGCAAGAGGAGCTGGAACTCTCTGCACTTCTGCTGGGAGTGCCAAATAGAACTCCTTTGTAATACAATTCGAGTTGCCAAAATTCTAATCATACACCCGCCGTTGGGCTCCTGCACATTAATTAATCCCAGGAAGAGCCAATCAGACAAGGCCACGCGTCGCGTGTGATTCACTTTGTAGAACAGTCTGGAACGTGCCGTCGTCTCCGGCGCCAGAAAGCCGACCGGCGGTGGCCGGGAGACGTGAGCTGTCAGCGGAAACCTCGGGGGGGCGGGGAGCAACGTTTCCCAAGGTCAGGGCCGGGACCTTGGGCGGTGGGGTCAGCCTCAGGGGCTCACGCTGGAACGCTGACTCGGCGCGTCGTGCCCAAACCTGCTCCAAGCTGGTTCCGCCGAGGACGGCGGTGCGGGGGCCACACGGGCGCTGGCCGCCTGAGTTTGGGGTTTGGGGCGAGACAAGAGAGGAAGTCATGTGACCTCACCGAGCCGCATTTTTTCTCATATAAAACTGGAGATAATAAAACGCTTCAGAATTTTCGAAGGATTAAATGGTGCGCGCAGCAGCACGCAATGACTCTTCAACTTGTAGAACGGGAGCAGGACTGCTATGCGGGTATGCATCTACTCCCAATTCGTGTTCTGTGGTTTTGTTCTTTGTTTTCATGTATTTTCGTATTCTTCCCACTATGAATTTACTTCCATTTTATTAGTAATCCCTTTTTAAGAAAATTGTATTTACACACGTCCCTGGAGAGACTCTGTACCTGACCGGAAAGACGGGCTGGCTTTTGCGCGTGCACCGGTCCGCACTGGTTTCCTTTTTCTTCTGCAGTTAAAAAAAGCGCGCCTGTACGTCGGAAGGCCTCAGCCCCCAGCCCCATCCCTGCTGTCCCGGACTACGATTTTCCAAGTCCCGCTCGGCCTCGTCGCCAGTGGAAACCCTGCAGGGGCTCAGTGGAGAAATACATCTACCGTCTGTCTGTCCAATAAACGTGTGGGGTTCTAGGCGACCATGACCGACACGCTCTGTGTTGGGATGGTCCCCGCCCGTGTTGGTAACAGTTTGGTGTTTTCTGCCATTGCCCCTCGTGTCCACCTCCTCTGAACGACTTTGTGACCGTGGACACCCCCTCCAGTCGAGACGGAAGTCCCGAGACGGTCCGCAGTTGGTATTATTTCCTGGCGGGGGCCCTAGATCCTGGCCACTGGTGTCGCCACCGCCCCAGACTAGGAAGCACCCCGGAGCACCAAGGCTCTCAGACACGTCCCCACCGAGCAGCGCTGTCAGGAGTGTGTCCTACTGCTTCTCCACCCCAGTCGTTCCCTGATGAAGAACCAGTACCTGCTGTTACCCCCAAAGTCTTCCGGGTCCTGCAGGGGCACCTCAGCTGGGGCCTCTGACCCAGGCTGGGCAAGCGCAGACAAGGTGGCACCTCCTCCCAGCAGGCCTCCCTCCGGGGCACGGCCTCCCTGACTGCCTTCCAACGCACGGCAAAGTTTTATTGCACAGTCACAGGTTTCTGCGGCGTGAGTTCTGTTTCCTGAGCACCCTCGGGTCAACCCATCCCAGCAAGGACGGCCCTTGTGGAGACCCGCCAGATCCACCCGGTACCTTTCCCGCTCTCGGCCGACATCCCCCTCCCCTTCGTGGCCGTGCAGTGGACTCTGGCCTCCCTCCAGCCTCAGCTCCGGCGTCTCTGTGGCCCCCCAGCGTCCAGCCCAGTCTTAGGAAACATTAGTCGATGTGTTTGTGCTTGTTGGTGCTGATCAGAGGCCATGGTGCATGGCGGGTAACGGATGGTTAGTCTCTACCCTTGGAAGACGTCAGCTAATCACCCGTAGATCTTGATTGACAGCTTCACACTGGTCTGGGGTGGTATTAGGTACACAGTTGTTCACGTTTATTAATTGCCTTATCGTCTAATGATTCTCTTTCAACACAGTCATTTTAAAAATTCAAGAAACGCTAACTTTATTCAACTTCCTTTAATGAGTATTTGATATAAAAAGAGGTATAAAGTCCTGTTCCCATGTTCAATCCACTTATTAACTTAGACCTAGAGTTTTGTGAATTACCAAATTTGGAGTAATTCTCTTTATACCCGAAAAACAGTCTTAGGGAAATGTCTGAGATAAAAAATAGGCATTGCAGTAAGCATATGACAAACATTCAAGAGTACAAAATGAGTTGTAGAAGTAACATAATTTACCGGTAAACCCACATTGCATTAGAAATGTGCAAAACCTTTTGATGTAAAAGTTGTATTTTTTTTTTTGACCTGAGCACCCTTTTCCATAGCTTAGCTTTCCATTGGGGGTGGGGGGGGCTGATTGCCTGCATTTTTTCTACCCACTCAGTCAGTTCAAGGCTCCGTCTTCCGGAGGGGAACGCGGCACGGCACTCGAGGGTTGAATTGTACGGAGGCCGGTGGTGGGGTTTTCTCTGATGGATCGCCAGGTCGGCCAGAACTTCCAATGTCAAGCTGTAAAAGTCTGAAATGTGTTCTGATTCTCTCCGTTCCCACCCACAGGAGGCTAACCCACAATTTCCCTCCTGTTCTCTATTCAAACAGAAACTAAGTTTGTGTTTATTTGGCACTGTTCAGTGGCTGCTTTTTGGGGGTGCTGGTGCGTTTCCTGAAGTCGCGGGGGCGCTCGCTTGTCGTCTTCCTGTAGGGCCGGGGGGGCAGGGCTGTGGAAACGCTGTCGTCCGGTCTGGGTTCTCAATGAGAATCTTCTTCCCTGGACCGCCTTCTGGACCCTGAGGAGGGAGGAGGGAGGACGTCAGATTGCATAAGCAATGAACCTGCCGAGGTTGACAGTAGGCTATTCCATGCGTTACTTTATCTATAAAACACCGTATCTCTTACTGCGACAGACTTCAGATTATACTTTCTTAATAATATCCTCCATTGATGATGACGAAATCAAGGATATCCTCTGCTTAAAGGTATATGAAAATGATCATTTAAAGCGGTCATTTCGGTTCTTTAGAAAACTTGAATTCCTGATAAATTCTTTACTAAAAATTCACTGCTCAATTTCCAATGTCTGTTTTGGATTCGTTTCCAATCAGATATGCCCATAACGCATGTCTAAGACTCGCAACTCCTTTAGACTATCGGGATGGAATTCTTTTAGAAGTTCCAAATTTGTCATTTGTTCTAAGGTCCACAAGGAGGAGCTTTGATTTTTGAACGTGTCGGAATGTGAGGTAACCTGATTAGAAGTTCGGAAAACGCACACAGACGTCGTTAGGACGGGCATCACAGTGCACGGGCGACAGGCACAGGCGTGGGACCTACACCCTCTATCCGCGGACTCTCGCCGCAGCGGCCTCCCGCACATGCGCAGTGCCCGGCTTCGCGCTGCAGACCCGGCCCAGCAGCCAGGGGCGGAGCGCCCGGCCCCTCCTGTGCTGCCGTCCGCTCGGCTCCGACACGCGAGGGCGTGTTTTCACACTGACTCGCCTTGAGTGTTCCTCAAGGTTTAATGCACCTCGCACTTCACATGAGAAGGACTGCCTTCTTCTTGATACTCACTGTGCTTGTGTTTTACCCACAGTGAAGAACGTGAACACTTCACTTTCTTCTTGCCACCCAAGTACTCTGTCGCCACCCAGGCTAACCTTTCTCTCTGACCGACAACCAAGTCTACAAAAGACACCCAGCACTCGTCTTTTCTCGACACGTCAACACACGCCCCCCACCCCCACACACACACATCGCCACAGTCAGCACACTTACCTTGAACTCTTCTGTTGGCTTGTGCCTTCCTCACAGGTGTGTCTAAAAGCAAACAGTCGTAGTTAGCAAACCTGGACATGGTGGCTGACATCACACAGGAGACCACAGCTAAGTGGAAAAGCGGGAAGTTCTGCATAAACAGCACAGAGCAGCGTAGGTTCTCTTTGGGAGCAGGGCATGGCGTCCCCGGGGGGGCTGCTGCACCGGGGACAGGCGGGCCAGAAACTTGTTCCCAAGCCTGGAGGTTCCAGAGAAACCTCCGTGGCTTTTTCCGGTTCCTTTCTCCATACCCTTCCTTAATCACTTCAGTAGTTTTAGTAAACGCAGTTCTGCCTGAGATGAGCATAAATCTCTTGATGCATTTTGTGAGGACATGTTTTAGCTAAGGGCGCCGAAGCCCCTGAGTGACAAATGACGACGTTGGCGCCAGAAGGACCGCTGCGTCGTGACTCCACTGACTGAGCGACGCAGTCGGCTCATCACAGGGCACCGGATGAACCACAGTGCAAGCCGTTCTGATGGAGAACCCCGGGCTTGGAGATAAAGCCGTAGCTGGGACAGGGGTCAACTGTCTGTGCTCTCAAAGGCAGAACGGTCACCCTTGATGATGTGATCTGTATGCACATCAACCTCTCTGTAAATCAGCGTGTGCTGAGCTCTAGGCCAGAAGGCACGTGGCTCGGGGCTGGTGCAAGAAGCATCTCAGGGATGGAGACCGTGCTAACACGTCCAGCCCATGTCTGGACACGCGTCGCTACCCTGACCACACTGCTAAGCAGAAAGGCCTTGGAAACGTTTGATAAAAACTCAAGGTGTGGCGGTGTGAAAGGCGATGCTTGTAGATTCACAGAGAAACGGGATGCCGGGAACCGAAGGGACCCATCTGTGCGCCGAACAGAAACACGTTTAGGGAGAATCTAGTAGCTAAAACCAGAAGATCATATTCTTAGCTCGTAGCAGGTTTATCGTCTTCTCTCGGCTGAAGCGATTCTTAAGTACTTGGTTCGTTGTTTATCACGGACTTGTGAACGGGAGTTTATTCACGGGAAGAAAACATACCCACCTGAAGTTCAAGCTTAAATAAGTTAAAGCAATAGACACAGCTTTAGCTACTAACCAATGCATTCTCTAAAAAGCACTACTTCTGTTCTACAAAGCTGCTTAATGTGGCAAGGACTAAAAAAAAAGAATTCAATTTAATCTTCATGACGTTTTTCACCTCTTCCCTGAAATTCATATTTTTTCACAGAGTATTAAGCATTTGGAGGTAGATAAGTGAATTCTGTATTAAAACCTTCGGTTCCGTTGGAGCTTTGGCTGGTCAAACACTCCCCGCAGTTCGGAAGGAAATCTTGCAGATTTCAGACACACATCTTTCTGCTGTGGGAAATTCAATCATCGGCTGAATAAAAATTACTTATGGTTACTACCGATGAACAGCTGAAACACTGTGCAAGATATTTTCTCCGTGTAAAATAAGGAGTCAAGAAACAGTGGTTATACATGGTCCCAAGAAAATATAAATTATTTTTTCTATTTTTGTGATACAGAGTGATACCGTTTTTAAAATTTTAAGTAGAAAAACCATCTGGATGAGACTTTGGATAAATACTAAACTTTGTGTTATCTCAATTCATAGTATATGAAAGAAGAACATTTAATTCTTCTATGTAATTTAAATACTTGTTTTTCTAAAAGAACATGCCATTTAAATAGTTATGTCATTAATAAAACAAACTAGAAATTCATTTATTCAAATAAAAATTATCCAAATTGTATTTATAACATTTACTGTTTCTTCAAATAATGGGCATTTAGAGTTTGCATAAGATTTTGAATTCTTTTTTTTCTCTTTTGCATTTAAAAGAAGGTCCTTTTAATGCCACAATCAGAACATTCCAGAGAACATTCCATACTTCAAGATTAATTTCATATGCAAAACAATGGGCAACTCCAGGTCTACATTATCACTCGAAGTGTTAGAAGAAACACATACTGATGCCCAAGAACAGAAAATTAATAAATGCATCATTTTTTTCTAGATCTAGGAGCTTAAAGATTCCATAAACATGCCTTTTATTATTGTTGTGGGGGCAGTGAATACATTTTTGAAAAATATAAAAAGTGTGTCAATTTGGGTTTGTTTAAATCATTACCAGCTTAAAAAGTTTTCCCCTTGCACATACTTAGAATATCCTTACAATTTGGGCACCAAAGCAAAAAATATTCAGTGCTCCCCAAGGCTGACGCCATACTTTTTAAAGACTGCTCAAATTACTAATCATTTCTGTATACATATCAATGAAGCTGCCGCCGAACTAATCCATCCATTAAGACAACACAGGATACCAGCGTAAAAAGAAATCACGAATGCTCAGTCTTTAAAAAGTTGAAGAACTCGGTCACCAGACCTGTTAACAGGTTAGTTGTCTCCCTTTTACTAACCTCCCTGAAGCAGTCTTTTAATTTCTTCATCTTCAAATAAGTGGCCATCACCCCCTTCAATGAGTTTGGTGACTTTGGTGACCTCTGAGAGGATATACGTTTACAGCAGAAATTGGTTTATGTAACAAAAAGACAGGAGACGCGATGTGATGATGTACCGCACACCTGCCCAGCAACGACTTCGGGACCTGGTTCTTTCTCAGTGTCGAGTGCTTTTTAAAAAATCCTCACCCGAGGATATGTTTATCGGTTTTAGGGACGGAGGGAGGGAGCAGTGGGGAAGGGAAAGAAAGAGAGAGACAGAGGGAGTTGGGGAGAGGGAGAGAGACATTGCTTTGATAGAGAAATGCTGATCGACTGCCTCTGACTTGTGCCCCGCCCAGGGGTTAACCCCGCAGCCTTTTGGGGTACAGGATGATGCTCCCACCTACTGAGCCACCTGGCCAGGGCTAGCGCTGTTTTCTGATAAGCCAATTGTCTCGTAAAGCCGTTGAACAACGCCCAGCAAACACAGGGTCTGACAGAAGTGACGCCGTGGCGTGTGGTTGGTCGGGTATGTGAACGTCTCCCAGGAGATGGACAGCGAGACTTAAAATGTCATACGGCGTGCTGGAGTGTGATAGTGTTACGTCACAGAATCACATGCTTATGATTTTGAATGATAAGATTTTATGTAATAGAGAAGGGGCACTATGTGTGCTGGACCTTGTGTATGTAACCTAACGATCAACACGACTTTCACTGAACTTCCATTCCGTATGTTTATATTTTTCCCTCGCGTTGCTATGGAACGTAAACAGAGAAACGACAGAGAGCAGGGAACATGCACGAGGTCTCAGAGACTATGTAGACACTGATACTGAGAGCTGAGGGAAAGCCACATTCTCAGTTTTTTAGAGTGCTCACCTTCTTGCAACAACTTCTTCAGCGTTTCTTCTGTTTCCCCACCACCAGCCGTGATCCTGGTATACTTTATTTCGGGGCCTAGAGAAAAGACAAAAAAAGATCTGAAGCGGGCAGGCAGACGTCCTCTGTGAAGAGCCCGACGGGAAGCCTTTCAGGCGACGCGGCCCGTGTGGCGACATTCAGCTTTGTCGCTGTGGCGTGAAGACAGCCATGGACGTCGGATACAGGGGTGGACACTCCTCACGCCGACACAGCTTTACCGCGTAAGCAGGTGGCATGGGCCACAGTTGCTGATTGCTCGTTTAAACAAATATTTATGGAATCGCTGTATTCTGAATTTCAGGCTAGTCTATTGCTGGGGGACTAGACGCCAAGGTTCCCTGAAATGAGTGGTTTTATACGAACTTGCCTCTACGTTGGTGCGTGGATGTGTAGACATTGAGGATGAACAGAAAACCGAAGGAGGAAACGGTTTTGATCCTAGGACACAATAGTGTATTCTATACCATGCGTATGATACACGTAATAAAAACAAACGCTTCTAGAGTTGTCTATGAGTTTCCAACTCGGAGGAAGAACACCGATTACAGGATTAGAATAATATTATATCCTCCAGGAAAGAAAGAAAGTTACCTCGGTAACCGCCCTAGTTCGGTCTTTAGAGCCCAAGCACGCCGGTGGGCCTACGTGAGGAGTTAGAGATTACCTGTAATGATCCGCTCTTCCCTCGTCTCCTTTTCGGTTATTTCCATGGGCACTCCATCAATGATTTTGGTGTATTTTTTAATAATTGGCTCTGAAAGTAGGGGAGGAAAAATGTGTTTCATTTGCCCCCTACGGTGGCTAAACGGCCACAGCTAGATGTTTTCATGAGAAAATGTCTCTCTCTAGACAATACCATTTAGGATCTAACTGGAATACATTCCGATCAGCAGAGGTCTACATGCTAGTCACCGTGTCCTGACTCCCGGGGGGAGGTCAAGGTCAGCTGGCGCTAACGCTCCAGGTCACGTGTGTGTCCTGACCCCCCGGGGGCCGAGCAGCCAGGGAGAATCCAGGGAGGGGTCCTGTGATCATCCCAAAGGGGCTTCCTTGTTACTCTAGCACTGATGGCCACGCTTTCTTCTAAGTCCAGCATGTCCTTGTGCTGACATGATTGTCATCATTATAGTCCACCATCGTGACTGCGCATGCAGAGACGATGGCAGTTTTCCTGGGCCCGGTGACTTAGCCTGGTTAAAGGAGTTCCCACCAGCCCCACTGAAGGTCAACTGTATTTCATTGGACAGGCTCATAAGAACCCGCAACGGAGAAAGGTACCCCACAATTTATGCAGAACCGAAGGCAAGGGAAAACGTCGGGCGTGGAATGGATTTAAACCAACGCTACTTTCAGCTAGGAGTCCTGCACAACACACCTCCATGGATGATCTCCGTTACCGCTTCGCCTTCTTTAATCAGCCTGAACTCGGGGTCCCCGTCGAGGCTCACCTGGGTTACGGTGGGTCCTGCGACATGGTTGTGGGGGACAAATCAAGGGTTAAGGCGGTCCTTTCGGTGTGCCCGAATGCGGAGTGTGGTTCTGCGGGGATGCTACTCAGACCGAAAGCGGTCTCGGGCTTTAGGAGTGCAGTTTCAAACATTCCCCATGGTCTTCAAAGTAGGCAACGTTTATGGGGAAAAAAATGATGCAGCTTTTGGGGGTTCTACTAAAATTACTGTCTCCTTCGTTAGCATTTGAATTGAGGTGTAAATCCAGCCACTCATTCACGGCTGTGAATTATGATCACACAAAATACGCGTGGCTATACTTCATCAGTCACACAGTAGGTACAGATTTGCGCTCCTGTAATGACAGCTCGAGTGGGTCTCTCTCTACCGTTCTGAGACTGTCCATTACTCCTCCCTTACTAAAATTATAATTTAATTTTAATTACTCAGTATCTTACACGTCTTAATTTCGCGGGCATAAGATTGAACATTTAAAAGTCCCAATTTTATACCTAAATTTAAGATACTGGATTTCAGGTTTCATGGGGGAAATGAATTTGAGTACTTACCTTCCACATGCAAATGATGCAAAACATTTACTAAGTAACAGGCAGTCCCTTCAAATGCGAACGTTAAACGCGTTACATTTGACTGGCAAAATGATTTCGCTCCCACAGAAAATCATTTTGGATGTTAGGAAGCTGACTACAACATGAGTTAACCGAGACCGTTCCACGGAGGGGAAGGGAAGTACGGTTCAGTACATTTAACTCGTACTGCGACGGCCTCCGGCGGCGGAAGGCAGTGCGTGTGTTTATCCTGGAGAGGCCTGCCTGCTCAGAAACTGCCAATCACCCAGAATTAAACAGTCTAAAACAATTTAGACTAATGAAAACAAAAATACGATTCTTTCAAGCAAGAAATACTCCACACCGTGCTCTTTGATCTGTGGGAAGGGATGCTGAGTGTGAAAACGGATGGCCAAGGTGTTTGCGGTGTTGATGTTTCAAAAGGAAAGTCTGCTCACAAAGTGTAAGCATAGGAAACTAGGGAATAAATGATCCAAATTAACATTCCTCTAGAAGAACCTAAACTGATATTTCAAAATTTCCTCTATAGTTAAGCTCTAAGAAGGCAAGGCCTTTCATCAAAAAAAAAAAATGGATTTTCGTTTGGACCCCCAGCCTCCGGAGAGCCGAGGCCCCGGAACTGCGCGATCGGCCTGTGCTGAGTTGAGTGGCCGCTGAGTTACCCTTCAGGCAAGAATGTGGTTAAATATCTTTTTTTAAAAAATAAGCAGCATCTCACAATTGTGCCCTGCAGCCTCGCCTATTTAGTACGAACTCAGTGAATCCGCAAAAACCGCAACAACGAGAAGGAGGAAACGCCAGGGATGTTTTTAGAGCTGGCCGGTGACCGACGGCCACCGAGCTGTCGGCCAGTCACCGTATTAAGGTGTTTACACGCAGAGATGAGAGTTTCTGAGACCCGACAAAAGCACGTGCAGGAAGGTGGCGTCCCCGGTGTCGAGCATGGCGGGCGTGGGCGTGGGGGTGGGCGAGAAGCGTGTGTGGGCCGTGCCGGGCGGGAACATCAGGAGGCACGGCTAACCCACTGCACCGTGGGGCTGGACTAAAGAGACGTCCGGTCTGTGGGAATACGTCTGTGCCCACAGACACAGTCGGGGCTGGGCTGGCGGTTTCTAAGCCTGGGCTCACTGCCCCAGCTACCGACTCCCTCCTCCGTTTCTGCCTGTCTGACTTCAGAGCATGCGCTGGGCGGTCGCAGCTTTAAAAGCTCTCGTCAGTGCGCAGCTGCTGCGCTCTGTTAAGCAGTTGGGTGCAAAACACCCGCGCTCTTCGTAAGAGCTTCTTGTAGCAACAGGACAAGAGACCCACGTCGGGGTGGGAGACACGGCCACGGTCCCTCTCTGAAGGGGACCGACCGCAGCAGAAACGCTCGGGATTGGCCTCTTTCCTGAGCAGCTGGGCCCCGGGGCCACCGCAGCAGCCAATCGGGTTCGTGGGAAGCCACCGGGCTTCCTGGGTACAGAACAAGCAAATGTACTGAAAGTGTTAGAGTGGCCCCATCTGCGCTGCCAGGGACTCTGCATGCCGCATTCCTCCACGACGTAGGCATGCCGTCGGCGGGGAAACACTCAGCGTGTTAGTTCCAAAAAGAACGGAGATACATTCGTAGAAATCAGCCCATGACATGGCGTTTTTCCCAGTCAAAGGAACCATGTGCAACATTGATTTTTACCTTCAGTTTTGATAATAGGCTGAAGACTGCCTTCAATCACTTTAATTTTTGGTTCCACAACTTTGGTTATAATTTTAGTTGCTGAAAGCATAGAAAGTGGAACATAAATGATGTTTACATAAGAAAAAAAAAACCTGAACAAAATTGTCTTCGTGTGTGTGTGTGTGTGTGTGTGTGTTTACTGGGAACTGAGGTGTCATATACGGTAATGTGTTCAGGCAGCGGATGCAGGGAACACTCGTGGTGCATTATCTAGGAGTATCTTCTCGGGTCCAGGTGGGGGCTCCCTGAGGTCCAGTGACTCGGATCTGCTTCCGGGGAACAAAGACTCGCTAAGTGCGGAATGCTACCTAGAAATCTACCGCCTCGAGCCGCACCCCTAGAGCTCTTTACCTTCGTGTGCACTTCTGGAAAATACTGGCTGCATAGCAACAGAAGACAAACAAACACGATTAATGTCATGCAATTCATCGTATCTCAAATTGCATTGCAGGGTTCTTTCTCAAGTAGGAAAAAATAGAAGAAAAAGAAAATATTTTTCATGCACTTTACAACAGTCATCTAGAGAGGAAAAACATGAAAAACAGTTCAGTATCCTGAACAGTAAAAATAAATCTCAGCCAGCCAGATACGGGCTCTAGGCACAAACACACTGTGATGAATAATTTAAGCTACAGTTGGTCTTTCGTTTGTAGCCTTAGCATCATCATCTTTTTTTTTTTTGTTAACTTAAAGGCATGTATTCTGAATGTAGGTCATCCGCCCACCTAAGATAGCAGCCAGCCATGTGGTTGGCTTTTGCTCGTGCAGATTAAACAGAAATGGGGCCGTCTAAGCAGAGCTACTGGCTCTTGGTCACTTCCAAGTGCTTTAAAGACGGCGCCAGCAGAGCACAGGCTGCCCCACGGCTGCCCGAGGTTGTACGGACGGACGTGTTAGAGGGACGTGTCAGCCCAGCTCGGGTCCCTATCACTCGCTCACCTCGGGTTTCTGAGACGTTCAGCTGTGTCAGCGTGTGAGTTAAGATGGGTTCTAGGCCTGGCGTGTGGCCGTGGTTCACTTATTTCAGGTTTTCTATCTTGGAATCTCAAGGTACAGAGCGCTAAGGCACCTCCAACCTGCGTGTCCATGGCCTGGTGTCCCAGGCGGTCTCACCCCAGACCAACCTGCCCCTGAAGGTCAGGTCCAGCGCTCAGAGCCGCCGCCGCTATCAAAACGGGGTAACTCCTCGTATCGTCCATGTCTACTTCAGGGTAAGGAGTTTGAAGTGTAGGGTGTTTGGTTGGGTGTTAGTTTTGTTTCAATCCTGCTTTTCGGGAGACAGAAACAGTTTTGACAGGTCACGCACTGGGGATTCAATAGTGATTTCCTTCCTCTTCACGGCAAATGTTACGTGTTTGGCCATGCAGCTGAGAAAATCCCCCCACAAAGAATGTTTTAAATGTATGGCATTGGGGGGACAAGAATAGGTAGCAAGGAAATTAAAGAAATGTTCTAGACCAGTCAATAAAGACATGGAATGAAATCTTGGGTGTCGTTAGTCTCTGCCTCTGTTTAAAGAACACATCTAGACACAGCATCCCCGTCGGGGCGAGGCGAAGGGAGCATCCGGCATCATCGTGTGAACCTCAGACCTGTCTCCCTGTCGCTCTGAGCAGGGAGGCGACACCCACTGCACCGGCATCAATTCATCCAGTGCGACGTCCTCTGTGAGTGAGGCCCCGGGCGCAGCCCAGCCGAGGACAAGGGACAAGTGACAGGTGCTGGCGCAGTGACAGGTGCTGGCGCAGTGCAAGCCAAACAGGGCGCGGACAGAGGTGGCCAGGGGTGCACGTCCCCTGCACGAAGTGGGACGAGCGGAGCGATGCGGGTGGGGCGGCTATACCTGCACACTCAGCGGAGACAGACAGCACACTCCCTCTCCGACGGACAGAGCCCGTAAGGGAGCTTCCGTCTCCTAGGACGCGCGCCCCAACGACTCTGAGTGCTTCCAGACTGACACTTACGCCGCGCTGAGCCAGAGCCGCTCCGACTGAGTCTTTAAACAGGGCGGGGCTGGCTGGATGCTGGGTTTGTGCTTATTATTCTTAGTAACGGAAATCAGCGCGAGGGGCAGGCACTGGTTTCACTCCTCGCCCTGTCTGCTCCTCTTTCCCGCATCCAGGGCGAGTCTCATGGGAGATTTTTCTCCGTTAAATGGCCGCTGCTCGCGGTATAAAACGGAATAAATTTGTACCCAGGAAAAATGGGGGAACTGCAGTCATGTGTGAGCTGCTGTAACATTTTGAGTGTCTCTTTGTGGAGTCAAAACAAAAGGAGAAGAAATCCTGCTTTGAGAGCGACAGGAAAGAAAGAAAGGAAAGAGGACGAAGGAAGAGCACCCCACTGAACAGAAGTACGAGGCACGTCCGTGAGAAGGAGGCGCCCCTTCCCCTCGTCTGGTGGAGGTCTGGCTTTGATAATCTGGCAGAGTCGGGGCTGAAAAAACCTCCGGTCTAGAGAGCTGACGCTTACCACCTGGCCAGCTTTTCACTCCTCCGTCCAATTTCAGGTGGAGAGGGGTTTTTAACCACCAGCTCATCCACCCTGGGGGTCTTTGGCCCACTGTGCCCGCCCTGCCTTGGGGGGGGTTGGGGGCTGGAGGGGGCGAGAAAGCCTGCGGCGACATCATTTCTGTGCCCGCCCACCCGGCTGCGCCCTCAGACAGCGCGGCGGTGCCTCTCAGCTGTCCCTGCCCTCTCACGGCTGCGGGGCTCTTTCAGCCGCTCTGCCGGGCTCGCGGGTGCGTTTTACCGCCCGTCCCGTGTCCCATTGCTCCTGCTTTGGGGCGCGCGCCCAAGTGGAGCCGGACGGACTGGCTGGGGCGGAGAGGGCTCGGGCGGAGAGGCCGTTTGGACCCGGAGTCCTGTTTCAGGTGGGGTTGAAGTTGCCATTGTTTGGAATCCTACGTGCCAGATTATCAACAGTCTCCACGTGTAGATACCAAACATTACTTTAAAAAAAAAATTTTTTTTTCTTGTATGCGACAGATAAATAGTCACTGTGTACTTACTGTAGACAGTCATGGGGATTTCTTTGAAGGTGCTGCCGCGGACGAACTGAAAATAAATGCCCAGAGTTAGTAACAGGAAAGGTGGTGGTTTGGTGACAAAATCATCCACTGCTTTAATGCTTGCTAAAGCCAGCCAAGGGAAGCTTTCAGGACACGGGACAGGGAAGAAGTCTTCCTGCGAATCAGCTTCCGGTTTCCCGCTAGGAGGGGCGGGCCTAAAAATTGCTGGACTTGTTCCCACGAAAACGTAAAGAACTGTGCATCCCAAGCTGAATGGATTTATGAAATAATACCCCCCTGTTTTCTGGCCCTTGGACCCTACAAATGTAAAGAGGCAACATATCCCTTTGCCTTTACCTCTTGTGATTCGTGGCAACTAGTACTTTATCTGATTCTTATAATCAGTAGCAAAGACAATTGAGGAGAGGTAAATTGTATTTGTCTATGTCCGTGTCTTATCTGTCCCACTGGACTGTCAGCCTTTTTGGCAACAGAGCCCTATCCGATTCAACTTCCACTTCGCGTGACGTTCAGCACGCTGCCTGGCCCCAAGCAGGCTTCCGCAGGTGTTTGTTGAGTGAACCCGTAAAGCTCTGTGCCGCCTCCCTGCGGGGGTGCAGACCCCGCCGAGAGCCGTCCGAGCCCAGTGCCCGTCCTCTCGTCCTGCACGTGCTTCCGGTCTCTCATGCTCCACACGGTGCCAGTCAACCCAGCCACGTTTCGTACCTTAATCTGGATGTATTTGACCAGCTTGTTGAGTATGTCCAGCAGCTGGTCGTTGCCAATAGGGGTGTCTGTGGAGGGAACATCGAAAAATGTCAGTGAGAACGTGTGAAGCAAGCATCTAGGTTTCTGCCGGAAACGGACCGAGCCTGTTCAGGGGTTCAGGGGTCACCCACCTGCCGGGTAGAGAAGCTTATCCACCACGTGGATGACGCCGTTCGTGGTCATGATGTCGGACTCCTTGGATTTCAGCTCGTTCACCAGCAGTGTGTCATTCACCTGCGGCGACAGGGGGCAAGGCCGGCGCGGGGGTGAATGGAAAGGGAGCCCCACGGGAGGCGGGCGGTGGGCGAACGGGCCCAGGCACTCCGCCCGGGGCACTCACTCCTTTCAGGTAGATTTTGCTGCCTTGCGTGGTCTTGAGGATGTTGGTGACGCCAGGCTCGAAACCCTTCCCGATGAAAACGCCGGGAGTCAGGTGGTACAGGATGATGTTTTGGAGGGCGTTTTTGTTGCCTGTGGGGGCAGGGGGGAATGGATTTATTTAACAATGCGCCGTCTTTCTTTGTGACCTGTGGACGCTCTGGAGACTACGGAGAACAGGACGTGTCTCTAACTCCTTTCCCACGCTGTCACTTCTCACGCCCCCGGCCTCCCAAGTGGACACCAACAAATAACCTCGCTGAACGCCCAGCTCAGCAACGTGACAATAAGCAGTTAACTGACAGCCCGAACGAGGGACCCTCCGCACAGCCCGAGTGAAGACGAGGGAAACTGAGGCCGGACAAGAAGAAAAAGAAGGAGGCGTTTCGGGGCGGGGGGCCCGACGAGGTCCCGGAACCGCGGGGCAGACCCGGGGTCGCTCCTACTCACGGATCAGAACTTCCTTCTCCTCGTTCGTCATCCCCTTAAAGGCGTCGTTGGTTGGGACGAACAACGTCCAGTCCCCGGGCTGCGTCAGGAGTTCCTTCAAGTCCGCAGCTTCCAGAAGGCTGAGGAAGATGCTGAACGGAGAGGACACACGCTTGTTTTGTTAGAGTCAGACGCGGCCCCGGTGTGCTCGCCCGCAGTGCGCGGGGTCGGGGGTCGTCCGTGTGTCGCAGGGAGCGTGAGGACACTGTGCGTCCGTTTGCACGTGTTTCAAATGCCATGTATCTGTTCCGAGGGTTTCCTCATAAGGAAATAATTTAAATGTTCATAATGCTTTTTAAAACTTCCTAAACTCCGTTTTTATCCTCCACACCTTGACAAAGTCACACTTTATAACAAATAAAAAGCATGTTTTTTTTCACTTGCTATTCTACAAAATAGCCTTTGTCTGTATATATTATCATTTTAAAAACTTAATTATAAACAACTTGCAAAGAGTAGTTCAGCTCATAAGATTGATTTTTTCCACTCATTGAATTATACCACGGTGCACCAGGAAGCAAACCCGTGCGGAGAACAGATTTTTGTTTTGAAAACATGCTCCTCGAGCTCTTATTCTAAACCCTCTCCTCCGCAGCACCGGACACTGCAGGCTTTACGGAATGCCGTGGCACAGCGCGCCGGCGCCCCGCACGCCGGGGCGGCGGGGGGGGGGCGGCGAGACCCGCCGGGCTCACCTGAAGCGCTTGTCCTGCTTCAGCCTGTCGTGGAGGGACTTATCTGCCGGCTTGATGATCTCTCGGAATATGTGGATGGCGCCGTTCCTGCCTTGCTTGCTGCCTCTCACCATGCAGGAGTTCTCGATGCAGACGGCCTGGCCAACGAGAGAAACACACGCTCCGTTTCCTCGCGGGAAATTTCCTCTGCGGGAGCGAACTAAAGGTCTGGACTGGCCCTCCTCCGAGGAAAGCTGACCTCTGCAGTCAGAGGAGACAGCTCCTCTCCTCCGTTTCTAAGACCTCGCACACCCTGACGACACACGTCCGTTCCGCCAGGCTCCCCGGCACCTGTCAAGCTACCCCGTGTGTCAGGCGGGTGGTTTGGTGAGTGAGTCACAAAAGCTCCTAGAATCCCATTTGTGCATTTTCCACCATTCCTCCTCACTTTCAACCGTTTCCCCAACGCCCTTGGGGAAAGTTGCCTCTCAGGACCGTCTTTAACCAGAAGTTTCCCGACTTCGGTTTCTCTTCTGGTCTTCAGACATATTTACTACATTTTCTCGATTGTGGGATCCCATCAATTAGAAATGAAATGATTTACTTATAGTATTTTTAAACAGATAAAGGTATTTGTATGACTCAGATTGAAGCCCGTTTTCTGCACCCTTTAAAATGTGCGCCTTGGGCACCTGTCTGGCCTAGCTCAGTGAATTGAGCATGGGCTGCAAACCAAAGCATCGCAGGTTCGATTCCCAGTCAGGGCACATGCCTGGATTGCAGGCCAGGTCCCTAGTGGGGGCCACATGAGAAGCAACCACACATTGATGTTAGTCTCTTTCTCTTTCTCCCTCCCTTCCCCCTCTCTAATAAATAAATAAATAAATAAATAAATAAATAAAATCTTTAAAAGATGTGCGCCTTGGAACTGTGGCACCGGAGTGAGGAGCTTCTGGGTCCTGTTCGGCTGTAGGTGACACCGGGCCTGCAGTGGGACACTCTAGCTGGGGCTGCGAGTGATTCCTGGACCCACGCCTCACGGCGCCACGGGTCCCACTGTGATTTCCACAAGCCCTATTTCCTGGAGTGCTTTCCTCAGATGAAGTACATCAGGGCCATTTTATACAGTTCAAAGATCTTCATGTGATTTTAAAAGCTTATCCTGAACGTCATCCAAAAGAGATTCAGTTGCTAAACTGTGATCTTGTGGTAAAACACCATCCTACAAATTTGATTCTCTATAAAAGCTACCTTGTAAACTGTAACAAACTCTAGACACCAATGTGCAAATGGCCAACAGATGTATGAAAAGATGTCCAACATCACCACTCATCAGGCGAATGCAAGTCAAAACCACAATGAGACACCACCTCCCACCAGTCCACTGGCTATAACAAAACACTGAAAAAATTAAGAATAGAGGTATCATACCACCCAGCAACCTCTCTTCTGGGTGTCTACCCCCCAAAATTTAACAACATTCATTCACAAAGATCTGTGCCCCCCTGCGTTCACTGCAGCATTATCCACGGAGGCCAAGACACGGAGACACCCGAAGTGTCCTCAGCAGATGGTTGGCTAAAGAAGACCCGGTGCATCTATGCAACAGAATCCTACTCGGCCACAAGAAAGATGAAATACTGCCACTTGCGACAACAAGGACAGACCTTGAGAATGCCACGCTACAGGAAATAAGTCAGACAGATAGAGTTAAGAACCACAGCATTTCACTCATACGTGGGATATAAAACTGGAAGCAACAAATGAACGAGAACAACCGACAAACAAAAACTCACAGACACAGACGACAGTGTGGTGGTGACCAGGGGGATTGGGGGGGTGAGGGGAGTGAGGGGGGTCAGATACCTGGTGACAGAGAAGACTTGACTTTGGGTGGGCGGCACACGGTGCAATATACGGATCGTGCGTCATGGAAGTGTGCGCTTCAAACCTGCATGACCTTATTCACCCATGTCCCCCCCGACTGAATTTAATTCAAAAGATAAATAAGTCATATACATGCAGTAGCAAAAAGAAAGGTCAACAAACAACAAGTGTAGCCGAGGGTGCAGAGAAAAAGGAATGCTAGTGCACCGCTGGTGGGAGTGCAAATTTTGCTGCGGCCAATACGAAAAACAGCACAGAGATTCCTCAAAAAGGTAAAAGTGGGTCTACCATGCGACCCAGTGATTCTACTTCTAGATATTCACTCATCTCCATGAAGAAAACAAAAACAAATTCAAAAACACGTGTACATCCCCATGCTAACGGCAGCGTGAGTTATAACAGCCAAGATGGGGAAGCAACCTAGGTGTCCATCAACAGATGAGTGGATAATTTTTTGCGATGGAATATGAGCCATAAAAAAGAACGAAGTTTTACCACTTGTGACAACACGGTGGACCCAGAGGGTATTGTGCTCAGTGACGTACGTCAGACAGAGAGAGACACACGCCGCACGACTTCACTTACGTGTGGAATACGGGACAAACAACAACGACTCCTTGGCATTAGGGTGAAACGGGTGGTTTCCGGGGGGGCGGGGTGGGGGGATGGAGGAAGGCTGGGAAGGGGGATGCGGCGAGCAGCCGCCCGGGGAGGGACGGTGCCCGGACTTAGTGGGGCGATCACACCGTAAGTAAGGCGCGGGAACGTCCAGTCACTGTGCTGCACACCTGGAACTGATGTGTGCGCCAGCTGTACGTACATTACAGATAAGGAGCAGCTTATTTTAGAGAAGTGTGGGCGATTTCTGGAGTTGAAATAATGCTTTATAAGAAAGTTATGTGTCATGAAACAAATGCAGATTTTCTGAATTACGAACACACACAGCAATGTCGTGTCATTTCCTGCCTTCACACACGTCACTCAGTTTCCCAGTCTCATGATGCGTATTAATTATTAACACTTCATAAAATTGTGGGAAACCTTTGCTGTAACAGTGCTCTTTGACAAGCGCCCTTGGACACCTAGGCCAACGTAGATACTTGACGTCCTCCTGACTCACTCACCGTCCGATACACGAAGACCCTGAGCTGTTTGCCTCCGACGGTCTCGAGTTTCTGTCCGTTGTAAAGCTCGCTGAGGCCAACTTTCACTTTCAGGATGTGATTCTGCAGAATTAACTTCAGAAGCCGCTGGTCCATGCGCAGGGTATCATCTGTGAGCACGTTTTCAAGAAGAGAAGATGGTTTTACTGAGAAAGCACTCGAGTTTCTCCTGGTAGGAGACATTCATGAAAACGGTCAGTTCTTATTATCGATATTGTGGATCCTATGCTCATATCACATGCGAGTCAATTAAATGCTCCAGGCGGTGGGTGTTGTGCGCCCACCGAAGCTCTGTGACCCGTCCCTTCCGGCGACCCTAACAGACCCCACGCAGCGCGCACAGTGGGCTTCCTCTCTGGCAGGGCTGCGTGTGGTGTGTGGTCACTGGCGCAAGACAAACTCTAACGCTGGCCAAGAATTTCTCGGAGAATTTGACGTCAATGAATCGTACGAAAGACTACTGATGAATCATTTGTAAATTTATCTTTACTATTGAGGAGAAAAATCAAAGCACCCAACCTCTTAAAGGTGGGTAAATGTTAACACATATGGACCTCATTATTACAAAGAGTCGAACATTTCTAGGGATTTGCATTTTTTATTAATAATTTCTATGTCACAATTTGGTATTTGGAAAATTGTAAAGCATGATGGTATTTATCTGTTTTTATAATTATTAAATTATGCCTCACGATCTAAATATGTTTTTATAAAATCACTTTTCTGGAAATCGTAGCAGGTTACATTAATCTAAACACTGTCCCTGAATAGCAGCTACTAGGTAAAATACTTATAACAAGAGTTCACGTTATAATATGGAAATGTATAATATTCTCCTGCTTTTATTTATTTATAATTTAACATCTTACTGTCAAATTCTGAGATGCAAAATATACCCGCGTATGTGGGTATCGGATAAGAAAATTAAATTTACTTTTAAGACACATGATGTGCGCTGGTCATGTGGTTTTATTCAGAGAGTCAGTAAACACCCCTCACACAAACCTGCACTCCAGGTGCACGATTCCCTGTTGTAATAAAACGCTTTGAAAAGCAGGACATTTTGGCAGAGTGCATCGTGCTAACCCACGGTATGGATAGCCACTACAAACACCAGTTGACACCTTGTAAAATATCTGTTATTCCTTGTTGCAAACAATCACGGGGCAGCGAAGGGGCGAGACCACGCCAGGGGCAGGAGAGCGGGCGGGGCGGGGGCCGGGGGCCGGGGGCGCGCCTACCCGAGAAGGCGGTGTTCACGGGGGCCAGCAAGGTGTACTCCCTGTCGGGTCGCAGCGTGGACGCCAGCCCCAGCTGGGCCATGAGGTCCGTGAAGGTGGTTTGCTGCTTCCCGGCCAGCTCCAGGACTTGTTTGGCTGTAAAACAAACCATGAGGAGGATTCCCAAAAGGCGCCGTCACTGTTACCATCGTCGTCGTCGTGACCAACTTCGTACGTCAGTTCTTGGCTGTTCTCTAGAAGCTCTTGGCTGCACCGACAAACACAGCTTCCCTTTTTGGGGGTCACAACCGCACAGCATGTCGGGGGGACGGTGCCTTCCTGCCTTCTCACGTGCCGTTTTCTGTAACTCTGCACTGCTCACCTCTGCACCTGACTCTCGTGAGCACCGTAACGCTTTCATGTATTCAAAGATGACCGTTTGGTTACACCTTTCCTCGTGTTGTTAAGAAGCCCTTGGCCCTGTGGGGGCCTCCTGAATATTAGACAATAGAAACCCTAGAAAACCCATGTTCCCCACATGAGGTGCTGGGGCCCACGGGTTACTGATGGGGCGACCGGCTCACTTTCCTGTTCATTCTGCGTTTGAGTTCCCCGTGCCGTCCTCACACTGGACGCCCGTCTTTCGCGGCCCTGCTCTGGAGGTGCCCTCGTCGACCAAGAGGAGGGAGAGGAAGAGGAAGAACAGGACACCGTCACTCACCAGCATCGGGGATGAGGACCTGGTCGATCAGGTGGATGACGCCGTTGTTCGTCACGATGTCTTTTTTGTTCACCATTTTGATCCCGTTCACCGTGATGCTGTCGCCGTCGCATCCGATCTCAATGGTGTCCCCTTCCAGGGTCTCAAAGACCGCGCCTCCCGTGATGGCCTCCGAGCACTGGAGCGTGTTTAGGATGTGGTACTTCATGAGAGCTGGGGGCAGAGCAAAGCGAGAACGTGTCCCTGTTGGCGGGACTGGCCCTGGCCCTTCCAAACACGCGTCACCACGACAACCAGTCTTCCTTAAAAACATAATACACGCGTCTTATCTCAGGATCCACCAAAAGCTTTTACTGTTTTTTTTTTTAAACAACCAAAGGTTTTTAAAATCTGTGCAAGTTCTTGGAATGTTTTCTCATCGTGTATGCGACAGAAAAAGCTCAGCCCAGTGGATCAGTTGCATGAAATGATTTGTGCAATACCGCAAAAAAATGTTCCCACTGTTCTAAGAAAATAATTTCTGATGTGAAGGCCAAAACAGAAAAAAAAATGTCCCCTGCAGAAAGCTTGTGAAGCTGTCTGCTCCAGAACGCCCCGGCCGTGTCCCACACACGCACGCCTCCCAGAACAGCGGCACAGAACTCAGAAAGGGGTTAACACGGGCTGCCAGCAGGCAGCTCATTCCCTAACGACAACGTCGAGGACGCAGCCAGAGAAAGATGGTCCCTTCCAGGAATCTCAAGGGATCTGTGCCTCAGCGCTATTATATCCGCACCTTCAAAACGCCTCATCGCAAGTTGGTTAAATGTACTTCGGAACAGGCCGAGTGAGAGAAGTACACTAGGCATGACGTGAAGTCCACTTGGAAACAGGGAGAGTGCAGAGAAGCCCAATTCTGTGGACCGGTAATGGCCCGAGAGAACCGCGCAATCTTCTCAGCTCAGTTACGCCCCTTAGGGTACATTTAGAATTAAGAGCATTTCATAATATGTATACAGTATGAAAATCTGGTCATCGAATATTTCTTTCCAACACTTGTTAATCCTTTTTAATGTGGCTATTTACGTACTTGAAAACAGTTCAGACATGTAATCTTTTGAATATTGGGAGTGTAATCACTTGAACTATTAAATTATTTAACGACTCCGCACATTCTTTCCAGGACTTTGTGTTTTAAGATGTTTACGGCCCAACTCAGACAAGCCTGTGTCTTTGCTCGCGAGAGCCGACAGACAACGCGGGCGCGCTTTTCCTCTTGGGAGCTGGGAGGCTCCGCACGGGGGAGCCCTTCTCGTACCTTCGGAAGCCACCTTGTCTCCCATGATCCTCTCCAGGACCCCTCGGGGAAGTCTCTGAAAAGCCTCGTTGGTGGGAGCGAAGAGCGTGAAGTGGCCGTCTCGGCCGAGGGTTTCCATGATGTCAGACGTGATGGCGGCCGCCTGCAACACAGAGGCGCTTTCAGGGGCGGGGGCGTCGCGGACCCCAGCGCGGAGGACCGCGTGCCTCGCCTGGGCCGCCCGGGCTGGCCGCCTCTGTAGACGCCCCGGCAGTTTGCCCTGGTTAGAAAACCTTCGGGCAGGGAGAGTAGCAACGTCCAGCCGTGCGCGTAGCAACCAAGGCGGGCACGTTCTAAATGCACTAAACACACAGCAGCTGCAGAACTAACCAGGCCCGTCTACGTTGTCCACATAAATGTTATTGCATAGGAGGCGATAGATTTGCCGAACAGCATTTCACTGTTCCTCCCTCGGGGCCGGGAAGAGAAGGACGGGCAGTGACCCCGGACACTCGACCGGGGCTGCTCACACTCACCCGGAACGACGAGAGGTCGTCTTCGGCCTCGATGAAGTCTTGAATGGAGGTGCCGATCTGGGTGAGCACGCGGTCGATGACGTGCACCACGCCGTTGGTGGCGATCTGGTTCCCGTGGATGATGCGCGCACAGTTCACGGTGACGACCTGGGAGAGTGTGGGGAGACCGGCGTGCGGGGTCAGAGCTGCCCGTCGGCCGCGGAGACCGCCAGCCCGTTCCGCACTTTGAGTTCGTGCGGGTGCAGTGCACCTGAGGGCGGGCGTTCTGGTGCAGACGCTGGGAGTGGGGACCCACGTGTTGCCACGTGTACGAAAGAATGAGCAAGCAAAGCCAGGAGAGAACGCAAGTACGGTTACACTGGACATGGAAAGCAGGAGACAAAAGCATTTTTTTCATTTGAATTGTCGCTCGTATTCTTTTCTTTCTTTTATAAAGATAACAATCGACTTTCTGATGTGGCGCAATAACTTGCGTAAAAAGCCTCCATAGCCCTAAACTAAGTTCTGAGGGAGGAGCACGGACACTCACAAATGTAGTGAGTCCTGTTCTGACACTGTCCTACCTGTTGCCTCGTCAGGGGTCCTCCCTGCGCCTGCACGTTGGGCGGCTGAAGGAGCCGCGCGAACGTGTACCTTGCACCCAAGGATTCTCCTCGAACACACGGGAGCCTGCGTCAGGGTAGTGGCCAGAGGCTGAGAAAGGGATTCTCATTCCCTGTTACTCTTTGATAAATTCTCTGATAAACTCTCAATTCTTATTTTTCTCTGGTTGTGGTTTTTTCAAGCACATCGCTACTAAATGTCCTGCTTAGAACAAACATCTGCGTCTACTGCCAGTTTCACTGATTCCTCACAATCACTCTTTTTTTTTAAAGATTTTATTTATTTATTTTTAGAGAGAGAAGGGAGGGAGAAAGAGAGAGAGAGAGGAACATCAATGTGCGGTTGCCGGGGGTTATGGCCTACAACCCAGGCATGTGCCCTGGCTGGGAATCGAACCTGGGACACTTTGGTTCCCAGCTGGCATTCAATCCACTGAGCTACGCCAGCCAGGGCTACAATCACTCTTTAGTAGAAATCAATCGCTGAGTCAATAATGCACCGCCCTATGATATAAACAGTACCGAGAAACTAAGGGCCATGTTGCTTAGACACACCCTGTTACTGACGAAACTTACCCCGTTAGGATAGTGGTTAATGAAAAGTCCCAGATTGTTGTACATCGAAGGGATGATCATGCCGTTTTTCAAGTCCTTGGTTAACATTCTCTTGTTGACCATGTGGCTGTGCAGAGCGTTCAGCAGCTCAACATTCACGTTGCTCTCCAGACCTCTGCGAATGTCCTAGGAAGAATTAAAGCGACAGCAGTTTAATTCACTGTGGCTCATCCTTAATAGACTGATAATTGTACCACTTCTGCTCTCATTACTTTCTCATCGCATTATCTAGCTGGGCAAACGAAACTGGCATCACTTACTTTATACCCTTTGAATTGATTAAGGGATTTTGTCAGTGCAGGTACACAGGCAAGCGTCCTGAATCTGGTAGAGTGAGTGGGCATTTTTAGAGACAAAACAAAATCTTAAACACATACACTGATGAAGTGACCATCTTGATATAATGTAAAGGGTTATGGGGATACAGGCTTATCAGATATTTAAATTATAGTGAGCAATAGAACAAAAAGCATTCATGTGTTTACTATGCAAGGATTTTGTGTTTATTCAAAAGCAAATTTAAGAATTCAAATGCCCCGGGCCTTTCCCCTTATCCAGTGGCAAAGGCCGTGCAGAGCTACGGGAAGGGCGATGACAGGTCAGGCGAAGTCTCTGCCTGAAGACCCTGGTCACGCAGGGCATGTGAACGTGAACTCGACAAGGTCAAGGGCAGGAGGAGGAAACGATGATGTCAGGGGTCAAACGAGAAAGGTCAGCGTTTGGAGGTTTGCCGACAGGCCCCGGAGGGGCGCGGGGAGAGGGGAGGTGGGGTGATGGCCCGGGCCAGCGGCCCAGCAGGCCGAGCGGAAGGAGAGCGGCGGTCGCCCCGCCCCCGCCCGCCCCCGCGCGGTTCGCACCCACTCCCGTGCTTCCCAGATAAGCCTGCGAGAGGCGCTCGGACGAGCGTGGGCGGCAGGAACGTGCAGGGCTCCGAAGCCCGAGTGACGTGCGGACTGGACGGGCCGGGGGCAGCCACCGGGATGGCGTGGCCTCGGGTCCCAGGAATCAGCCTGGGCCTCGGGGAGGCTATAGGGTGGCTGTGCACGCAGGAACGAGGGCAGCAAGAGTAGAAAACACAGGACGTGGGCGACGAACCGCGGTTTGTAGGAGCTGGAGCGGGAGCCGCTGGGGATGACCCACAGTTTTCAGTCCGAACCCTGAGGTTCCTACTGTCAGTTATGGGGGGGCGGGGGGGGGGTGAAGCCAGCAGAAAAGCAATTGTTTATGGGGAAAAAGTGGCATATGTTTCAGGCACCTTTTTGTTTAAAGATACGAAGTTGTCCCCAAGGAGCAACATGAAGATAGATATTAGAAATACTCCCCGGGGACCCAAGGGCCGCAAGTGCAAGAAACACAGGTCGCGCACGGGGTTACTGTGCCGAGGTGACCGCTGCTGACCTCACCGGAGGTCGGTGCAGGGAGCCCAGCGGACTCCCGGCCAGACGTCCCCGAGGCCGGCCCCTCGGCGGGGAAGGCGGGGAGTCGGCGGGAAGGGCGGTGGGCGGTGAGGTCGGACACCACCCGGAGCCAGAGCGAGAGCGCTGTGCCGCCGGGCGGATTGGCCGCACTGCAGACGCAGCGCCGCGCCGTCTGCGGGAGTCTGTCTGTCACCGGGTGCTAGCAGACTCCCAGGGCGATCACCGACTCACCCTCCTATCAGCTAGAAAGGGGAACAGATTCCCGTACCAGCCTCACAGATTTGGAAATCCGCTCACTCATAACTGGGTGTGTTGTAGATCACAACGTATCTGAGAATCAGATGTGTTGTTTACAGTGCTCCATTGACACATGCGTACGTGTGTTTATCAGTCTGTCGACCTCTGAACAGCCAATATCTCCACGCACACTTAAAATAATAATTAAGTATATCTATATAACATAACATAATAAACTTCAGATGTCACCAGGCTTCTTAACTTAGCTTTCTACTAGATATGCCAATTAAAATTACACATACTTTTTCAGAGCCAAGAAGGAAAGAGGAGAGGAGTAAAACCGAATAATAATAAGCGCTCGCTCAGTCCGTTCTTGGTTTGCCTTTTCTTTCCCAGGCCATGAGGCGCCGGGGGGTCGTTTCATTTACGGGCGCATTGAAGTGGTTCACTCCTTACCCTCTGCAACCCACCCCTTTCTGCATCGTCACACACGCACCACGCAAATGCACGAACCCCTGCCCACTGCCGAGGTCACCAAGCAACGAAGGCAGAGCGACAACACCAGCTGCGCGAACCGCACGAATGACAAGGGGAATTACCGGGTCCAAGTTGTCCCAGGCGTCGTTGCTGGGTGCGAAGTAGGTGAAGGAGCCTTTGCCTTCGATCTCCTCCCGCAGCTTGGAGATGTCGGAGTAGCGCTGCGTGGTGGTGGCCCCCACGATGCCCAGCGTGCCGTAGACGTGGTCGATGGGCATCACTGCAGCCGCGGGGAGAGGAGGAGGAGGGTTTAGGGTTTCATTTCAGCAATCGTATTATTGCACAGTCGTCTACACGTCGCACGGACTTCCACAATACACGGAGCTGCTCGTTTTAGCAACGGTAAAACTCTAGGACTCACTGATGGCGCACAAGAGTGGGCCTCTGAGTGCCAACTAATGAAATGCTGCTGGAAATTACACGCCTGTGGGTACATCCCTGTGAGGAAAACGAGTTTTGAATGGTCATCCCGGTCTCACACTGGGTCTGTCCGGGTGTCCCTCAGTGCCAATCATAATAGCTCTGCTACAGTCATCAGGAAATATTTCTCATTATGTCATGGCAAAGGTAACATTTTCAGTCATGTTGCCTTAAAGTTCCTAAATATAATATTTTAGGTGTAGGCACACAATTTTCAAAGATTTGGCTTCTGAAAGACATATGTAGACCTGCTTCTTTTAATCATCACTTTAGGAAGAAAGTAAGTCCAAGTATCTAACGTGGCCAGAATAATTCTCTTGAGCTTCCAGAAGAAAGATTAATATATATGAATGCCCACCTTCAGACTGGTGCGGCCAACTTGTGTTTATAACTCTGTCATATTTGAAAATAAGTCTGGTTCATGCAACAGCATTGGACAAGTGATTATCACTTTTGGGACTGTGGTGAGACTAGGCGGCACCATTAATATATTAAGTGATAAAGCCGGGAATTGAAAAGATCCCAGCAGGACGGGGAAAGCAGCGAGTCGACACTCACAGGTGTTGCGCGGTGGAGGAGGGCTCCGTGCGAGCCCCGTGCTCACGTGGGAAGCGCACACCCCGGAGGAAGACCGGCCTGACACTGCCCGTGTAAGGAAGGCCCGTGAGCAGTCTGAACCGACTGCACACTCGGTGATGAGCTACCGCTGTGACATCATCACTAGTCACAGTAGCCGAAGTTCAGGGGCCCCGGAGCGAGGTCTTGGCCTGCAAATCCTCTCAGCTGCCGGGACCACGTGACTCAGGAGCCCCAGTCTGGGGTCACAGTCAGATGGAGGTGACTGGGCCGGGGTGGGGGCTTCTCTGGGCTGGCGTCCACGCCGGTGAGAGAGCCCGAGGCCCTGCGACCTCAGAGGAAGGGAGGTGGGCTCCCCCCTCCCCCCGACAAGAGGAGCTTCTGGTGGGAGGAGAGGGTGGGCAGAGGAGGGCGGGACAGTCGGTCGGAAGAGCTGGCATTTCAAAGAGGAAAGGGATGCGCCATTTTTCTGGAGTCGGCAGCGTTGTGGGAAGCCGGCTCTCAACAGGGGGACCGTCACGGACCCAGAGCTGCCCGCTCAGGAAAGGCGGTGCCCCGCCACGTGGCCAGGGACCTGCTTCCGGACAAGTTCAAAGGGAGGGGTTTGGAGGAGGCGATTTCTGTTCTTGAAGGAACGTTGAATTAACTTAGTTTAAGCTTCTGTTGCCTTGTCCAGAATTCGGTGCATGCAAAGCAGGTTTTACCACCTTATCGCCACGATAACTTCATGATTAACATAAATATGAATCTGTGGGGGTGCAGCTGAGACTTATCATGACGCTAAACACACCCGGAGCTGGCTTCTCTGCCAGCTTCCTCGGGCTTTCCCCCCACCCACGGCAAGCCCCCCTCTCTCAGTGACCGCGGTTTTACCTGCCGGGCAGCCCTGCATCCCCTCCATCTTCATGTACCCGGGGCAGCACTCGTACAACACGGTCCTGCGGGCCGGAGGAAAGTCACCGTTACCATGGAGACTCGACTCCGGGAGATGAACACACACCCTGCAGCCTACAGAGGGTGTGTTGCAGGATTCTGCCGACTCCCCCCAAATTTCTAAAGCAGCTGTTCACCCAGAAAGCAGACATTTCTGTCCACCAACACAGTCGAGTCCTAAAGGTGTCGTTGGGAATTTGAGCACCTGCCAGTGGATGGAAATCAGGCATTCTTCCTGTCAAAGTTTCTTATTTCTTTGGTTATCCGAAACTAGCAGCTAGCATTTACATTTATCCCAGAGCCTCAGATGTAAATGTGTTTGTGAAAAAAAATGAAGCTACTTGGGGGAAGAAAATATGCTAATAGAGTTAAACAAAGGAGACATTGTTATATTTCTGGTAATGAGCCAGGCTCCAAAACAGAAAAAAAATTTCATGGAAAGCGAGCAAGAATCTTGGCATACGCTTGGCACAAGCCTTGGCATCTCTGACGCATTTATACGGTTAACAGAAGATTACATCACCCGCCTCCACTTCCAGGGAGAACATAATAAAGATTCCCCCTCAAGGTTTCGGGGAGCGGGTCCCTTCCTGCGTCGTGAGCGTGCATCCCCCAGATGCCTCACAGAGACCAGGAACAGGGAGAAGGAAGATATTTGAATCCAGAGTCTGGGAGCTCCCGGCTCGGGCCTGCCGTGCACCCTGGCCAAGTTCATGGCCACTGCTGACTCGTAATTGTGACTGTAAACACACGAAGGACTCACAAGTCTGCCTGATGCCTGTAAACCAATGGGAAGGATGCCCAGGTTAAAAAGGAGCATCGGCTGAAACCCCTCGAAGCCACCGAGTGGGAGTGGCTGGCGACAGTCTTCGGGGTCCTGCACTGGTTTGCTGCGGGGGGTGGGGGTGGTCTTCAATACGTGATTCTCATTTGGAAATAGAGATAACCCTGCCCATCTCAAACAGGCATCTGCTCACCGCCCCTTTCCCCGTCTGCACGAATCCGTTTGTTTCAAGTAGTTCAAGTACGAGGACACCTGATACCGCGAGTCATTCAGCAATTTCCCGTCCGCCCATTCGGTTTCCCTGCGGACACCCTGCAAGGCGGAAGCCCGCACCTCAGCAGTAGAAGAGATGAAGGCTCCAGGAGGTGAACTGACTCTGCACTTACTGTCCGTGCTGACACTTTAAATTTAAGAACAGGTTTCTGACTGATAACCCTCCGGCCCTCCCACCGTACTTAGAGTAACCGATGTTTAACAACGACGTGCTAAGCAGGTCTCCCCCGCCCCGCCCCCTCACCTGGCCGCTCCGGGGGTCTGCACTGTGGGTGGCGCCCTAGTTAATGGGAAGGAAGGGGTCACGGCCACCGTTCTCTGGACTGGGGGGCATCTCCGATGGGACTCCGTCTATGACTCACCACCGTCATTTCAACAGGAAGAATTGGCACATGTGAGGAGTTCTCGACCTGTATATGCCCAGGGTCCTATTTTTTCTGCTAACCCTTATTACTAGAGTCAACCAATAAGCATGTCTATCAGGCAATAAAACACGGTTTCCAACTGTAAGTTAATCAGTGCACTCTATAACCAAGTTAAAGAGTAATTGTCTTTTTGACGTTTGAAATAGTGAATATCGTGGTGGGCTTTGTGGACCCCTGGGAATCTGGCGGCTTGGAATAGAATGGCTGAATTAAGTAAAGAGATGAAATGCAAATCCTTTGCCACTTGAAATCTCATGAAAACTCTGGCGTCACTTGGAGTGCTTGAGATAATTTCCAAATGACTGTAGGGAAACATTTATTTATGCCTCAGAACCCCTGGTATTTCGGATCATGTTGTTCTTCTGGCATAAAGAGCGAGTAGAAAGGACACATTCCGCCCCGGCTGGGGTGGCTCAGTGGCCTGAGTGCCAGCCTGCCAACCGAAGGGTTGCTGGTTCGATTCCCAGTCACGGCACATGCTCGGGTTGCGGGCCAGGTCCCTCCCTGGTTGGGATGCATGACCGGTAACGGATCTCTCTCCTTCTCTTTCTCCCTCCCTCCCTTCTATCTAAAAATAAATAAATAAAATCTGTTTTAAAAAAGAAAGAAATGACCCAGTCCGCACTGCACCCCGCCGCACTGCCGCGTGCCTGTGATGTGCGGTCTCTGGGCCTCCCCACACTGGCTCGGGCAGGAGAGCCCCCCAGCGCGTGGGGAAATGCAGGCTGAGCTCCACCCTTCGTGTGCGCGACCCATTCTTTAGACACAGAACACCCTCACAGTGCGGGGGCGGGGGGGAGCGTTCCCAAGGAAAATGCAGCGCGTGCCCCAGGGCGGGCCCCCGGAGAAAAGGGCCGACTCACGTTTTCTTCCCGCAGATGGCCCCCTGGTACCAGTTCCGGCAGGTGCTGAAGTACTTCTTCTTGGTGCCCAGGATCTGCTGCAGGGCGCACACGTTGGGGCTTGACCGGCAGAGGAGAAGAAAGAGAGTTATGTCCCGGTGGCACCTGGTTTCATTTAACACTCACAGGTGGGACGGACACAGGAAACTAAGGTGACGCGTGGGTCTGACTTTGGAAGACGTGAGTGTGGTCTGGCCCAGACCCGACCCCTGGTCCGGCCCCACGGCGGGAGCGGGGGGGGGGGGAGGGTTTCCGGGAAGACGAGAGCCGAGGAGGGCCAGACCCTGGGAACCAGCGGCCAGCGTTCTGGGGGTTCACCCAGGAGGGGTCACCCAGGAGGGGCGCAGAGGCAGCCCCCCGCTCAACGGGCCTTCATTTTCCCGTGTCTCAGTACTTTCAGCCGTACACAACCCGTCCACCTTCGTAGACAAAAGGCGGGCTCACGTTGGGGCGGGGGAGCCTTCAGGGCCCCCCGGAACCGCGAGAGGTCAGAGGGCAGAAGGGACCAGTGGTACTACTGCCCACACGGTAACGTCTACAAACTCACAGGCACTACTTTCCTCTGTGGTTTTCTAGTGAGTTATGGCACAGATGCGTGAAGGCGACATTCGATACCACGGCCGCACACAGGAAAATTTAGTTTTTGAATGGAACTAATAGATCAGAACATCCTCTGCCAGGATTTTAAGTGTTTTTTTTTCCTCTTAAAGAGGCAGAAGTCTTGCTTGCCCTGTAAGGCAAGGAGCTTCGGGGCATTACGAAAAAGCCTCCTGAGGCCCAGGAGGAACTGCCAAGATCCCTTTCAAACAGCAGTGTGGTGAGGACACTAAATTAGGGCATAACTTTTAAAATGCTAAGTGGTAGCTGAATTTTTCCTAAGAAGCATACACTTTTTTGCATTTTTTACTGACTCTAAAAGTTAAAAGCTTCTTCTATGCTTAAAACAAGCCAGAGAACTACATTACCAGTTACTTAATTTTTATACAGAACTTGAGTCAAAATTTCCCTAACATCCTGTGAGCTATCTCAACGCCGTTCACCTAAGGAGGGCTTCTAACCACAGACCTCACCCCAGCTGTTTTTGGGAGAAAATAAAAACACAAGTCAACCGTACCATCAAGAAATGCCCTGTTAAATGTCAGATTAGAACAATGTAACGTTTCCTAGAAAGCGATGAGGCACAAGTTACTCTGCGAGGAACGCTTCAAGTTCAAAGCCCATCTAAGAATCACAGACCATCCAGTGCTTCCTTTTCCTGTGACTTTCTCATAAGGAGAGACAGCGTGAGCACACTTGCCCACACCACCTGCAAAGGGGGGGAAAGAAAGCGGTTTAGCCCCCACTCACCCCTGATCGCGGGCCCTGATCCGGCTGTGGGCCAAGATCTTGTCATAGTGGCCGTTGGCGTCGGCAGGGTTAACGGCCGCCAGCAGCAGCAGCAGCGGCGGCAGCAGCGGCAGAGCCAGTGCGGGTGGGAAAGGAGCCATCCTCAGCCTCTGCCTGCAGCACCTCCCCGAAAAGCACTGGAGCGGGCTTTGGAGAGCTCGGGGTTTATATACATGCCACGGGGCGGGGGGCGGGGGGTGGGCGGGTGGGTGGGGGGAGGCTCAGCAGAGGAGTCGGCCGCCGCCAGCCGCCAGCCGCCAGGGCAGACCTGCTGGGCTGGGGCTGCGGAGTCCAGGAGCCTCTTTCTGACTCACTGGGAAGAAGACCCTCACACTAAGATGATTTCCGCCGTCTTCATTGCTAACACCTGGCTCACTGGGGGTGCCTGCGTCGCTGTCATTCTGCAGTGTCATCCAGAGGGGCCTTTCGATGACACGTGATTTCCCTGGGGTTGGGGGGAGCAGTCTGCAGCTCCCCTCTTTGGGGGGTGCATGGCCCTGTGCTGGGCGACCTCCTTGTCTGCTCCGACCACCTGCTGTCACAGTCGCCCCCCGTCACAGGGGGAAGGGGGCTGTTTTCCCACCAGAACACACAGGAGGGTGCACATCCGCCAGAGGCGCGAGGGGCTGCGGACGAGGCACAGCTGCTGGGGACGCGAGGCTCCCCCGCCGCGGGTCCCGCTGAGGACAGACAGCCCCTCCGCCCCCTTCATCCGGTTTCAAGGGGGAGCGGCAAGGCGCAGACGGAGTTAACAGAACCCACTCCTGGCGCGGGGCCCTAACTCCTGAAACAAAGCAGGAGAGGAAAACATGTGGGCTGCAGTGTTTATTCCTCGCATACCTCCCCCGCGCGGGAAACCTGGAGGCCCGCACCCTCTGATAACCCCCAGGCTGAAGCGCCCCCTGCTGGAAACCGGCGGTACTGACCCGACTGTCCGTCACGGGGCATTTGGATGCCGATTAGGAAACGGGGGCATTGACCCGATGACGCTTCTGACCTTGTCAGGAGCCCCTGCAGGCCCTCAGTGTTTCCCTGCCGCTCCTCGCCAAGGGGTGTGCCTTCTCGCCGCTGCACCCAGGGACAGATGGGCCACATCTTCAGGACGTTTGGGGTAAAAGAACATCTGAATTTCGGACGTCGACCATGAGACAACATGATAACCGCTACGAGTCTCCTTGAACAAACAAGCCACGCAGTATCCTGAAGTCGAAGCGTAGGCCATTCAAACACTTCTCGTGGCCAAGGGCTTCTGCTGTGGAGACACGTGTGTTCTGCTCCCCCACGGGCGATGTCGAGAAACTCTCCCCCAGACCCCCCCGCTGGCCAATGGGAAGGCCGTGGGGGAGGCTGGACGGGCCGGAGCGATCTCCACCTCTCAGGACAATCGTGCTGCGCTTGTTGCGGGGAGTAAACAGTTCTTCCACTCGCTGCTCGTTTGTGAAGAAAGTATGCGATGGAACGACACATCCTGAGATGCGGTTCAGCTGGCTCTTTTCAGTTCGCAAAGTCTGGTCACCAGGTAGAGGAAGTAAAACAGTAATTCAGACAGAGAGGTGACGCCCCGGCCAGTCGCTCAGCTGGTTCGCGTGACAACAAAGGCCGTGGGTTCAGTTCCTGGTCAGGGCACATCCTGGGCTGCGGGTTCGATTCCCGGTTGGGGTGTGCATGGGAGGCGATAGACGGATGGGTATTTCTCTCTCACATCACTCCTTCTCCCTTGTCCTCTCTCTCCAAAACAAATGAGTATGTCCCAGGGTGAGGATTAAAAAAAAGGCAGCGATGAAGAGAAGACGTCATTAAAAGTAAATTATATTCTTTGCCTTGTGGGAAGAAGAGAATTAACCTGTTATTTATATTTCTGTGGATGAAATTATTCCAACTTCCCTGTATGTTGCGGGCACGCTCTGCACAGTAGAATCCCATGATTCCTATGTTGCGCACAGAGTGGGGATTAGGAATGGCTTACTGAGTGGGATGAAAACTTATGTAAATAATTTCCACTTAATATCAGCAAATCATCTGTCAGAACATTATTGATAACACAGTTATATAAAAGTCTTCAATTCTAGACTGGTTAGACATTATAACGTAGACTACTTATTTTGTTAAGACATAATAACAGAATGTTGGAATTACAGAAAAAAATAAATCAAACGTAAAATGGAGAAATCTCACGAGCATCACCACCATAAATAGTAGTTTACTCTTCACTGGCATGCCCACTACTGTCATGTGGTCCTTTTACGTATTAGACAGGGTGGCTGCCCGTACGCGTTGGTGTGACGTAGCTAACATCTGCCCACGTCCAGTGTGGTTTGGTGGAGAGCAAGTGATGGGGTAGAGGGAGACAGAGATACAGGCTTGGACAATGTGTATAAAAAGTAAAAGAGCTTTTCAGATACGTCCAGAGTAGCAACAGGTAGACTCCGTGATGACTATAGGGGGGAAGGAAGGATTGGTGATTTTCTGATTGCTTAATAGTGCCTGCGATGCACTGAAAACACTGGTTCTTTTCAAGAAAACTGTGACCCGTTGTTCCTTGTGACCACGGTGTCGCCCGCCCTTCAGGGAAAGGCCAGGCGATCGCCCGGGACGAGCAGCGAGGGTCGGCTGGTCCCTCCCGACCGGAGGTGGGAGGCTGCGTGCGCGAGTGCGGGCGGGCGCGGTGAAGCAGGAGACGGCGCACCCAGGAGACAGACGTTCCCTCCCCCTCTCCTTTCGGAGAGTCAGACAGGGGCACCTTCCCCACGTCCACGAGAATCTCATTCGGAACGTGTCTACGTCCCCACGGACGCCCGCAGGCGCTAGCGCTCAACACGCACCCACGCGCCAGACAGGAACGCTGCCCGGTGTTGGGGGGTCCCTGAAAGCGAGGCCGGGGTGCGCCTGCAAACTCCGCACCCACTTAGAGGTGGGAGAGCATTCCGACAGGAGGGACCTTCTAGGGTAGACGTGAAAACATTCGAAAGCGCTGCAGCTTCAAAGGCTGAGCCCGGCCCAGAAACGCGGTAACGGCGGGAACCAGTCCAAGCAACTGCTTGGGCAGAACCCCGCATCAGGGGGGCTCACCCCGGAATCCGGCCCATGGCTGACGGCGCGGGGTGGGGGAGGGAGGGAACGGCAAGGTCCAGAGCACGGGGAGAAAGGGTGGTCTAAGTTGTGGAGAAGAGAATGAGGAATCTCGAGACAAGTGCGGTTCTCTCCTTCCGGAGCACTCGTCCAGTCTCTCTCTCTCCCTCTGTCTCTCCCTCTCTCTCCCTCTCCCCCCCCCACACACACACACACCGAGCCCCCTGCCTCCCCCTCACCTGAAGACCCTGCCCCTGGGGCAGCCGCATCGTTTTCTTGGGACTTTCAGGGCTGCCAAGTCCGACCTGGAAATGTAAGTCATTAACGAAGAAGAAACCGTTTCTGTTTGATCAGAGAAAATGTTACGTGTCCATAAGACTGAGACTCGGGTGTCTAGCTTCCAAGGTGCTCATTGGTGGGCCGCTCCCGAATTATCCCACGGAGCTTGTCCGTGGGAATCTCCGCCTCCGGCCACTGGGAAGGCCCTGGGTTACACTGTCACCAGCAGGCAGCCGGCATCAGACTCACCCGACGCTCTGTAGCACTGGGCACAGCCTATGGGTTCAGAAACCCTGGACGCTCAAGCCAAGTTCAGTTCCATAGAACAGAATGTCCTGGGTTTCGAGGGGCCCAGAGTGGTTATCTGCCCCCTTCCCAGGGCCGCTTGCGTCCTCACGGGCCCGCGTGTGAGCGGGGTGAGGCCTGGAGGTTGAGGCTGCACACTCTTGGGGCGGCCACTCCCGGGGCGGCCCCTCCGCCCGGACCCTGCCTGGTTCCTGGGGGCTGAGGTCCTGCCAGAGGCCCTGTGACCTTCGGTCCCTTTCAGTGAGGGAAACGTCCTCCTAAAATTATTAGATTATGCCGGGCCGAGCCAACAGCAGAAGGAATTCAAATCGAACAAAACTTAATTTTTGCAATTGTTCCCTTTATAAAAATTCGTACGGCTAAAATGCAAACAAACAACAAGGACTGACTTCAAGAGGCGGAAAGGGCGCCGCAGGGGCTCAGAGGTGCTGGTTGCCGACCCGCCGTAGAGCCCAGACCCAAATGGGGTGCGACCTCCTGGCCCCCTCATGCATGTGTTTCCAGAGGGTTCCGCCTCTACTCCTGCGGCGCACCCGGGCCCGCACCGCACCGGCCTCGCAGAGCGGAGAGGATGGAATCGTGCGGGGAGGGGGGGGAAGAAGTGACCAGTTTAGCCCTAAAGTGAGTGCTCCGTGATGCCTCTCTAACGTCCCCTCGTTTGCACGGAGAGCAGGAGGGGTTTTTCAGGGATTGTCCAGGACAGGTGTCACGCTCACCCGGAGTAACCATGGCCACCGCGCGCCCCTCCCTGAGCCGGGTACTTCTGACCTCTCAGCACCGGAGGCAGGTCCGCAGCCCTGCCCAGCAGCCCTGCCCCGCAGCCGCGCGGACTCGCGCCTCTCTGGAGCCACCTGGTGGAGAAAGCGCAGGAGACACCTCCGGCTGCTCCGGCCGCAGGGATCATGTTCGGATTCCAATACCACAAACACGGGATCATCTTAAACCCTTCACGGGCCTATACAAATGCCAAACAACTCAAGGCTAATAACTGTCTTTTATGTGAACGATTGCAGCTTCGGGGTCCTGGGAGGCCCAGGAGGTGTGTGTGTGCGCGCGGGGGGCTGTCAGCGGGACCATCTCCGTGGGACCTCTCCAGTGTGGGTGTGGGGGGCCCCCTAGCAAGGGGGGCCCCCTGGTTACCTGTTGCTACTTGCAAGTGGGCTCAGCTCCTTGTAGGGGGCGCGCCTCCGCCCCACCCCGCCTCGGCAGAAGGATAACTAACACATTGGCGGTCGGAACAGACTGGTTTCTAGGCCTTGGGACTTCTGGTCAACCTGGAGATGCCGAGGGCGCCCTCTACCCGGTCGCTGTCGGGTACTGCAGGTGGCAGTTCGAACTGCTCCCAGTTACTTTAAGTTTATTTTACTGTCCGAAAACCACCACGCTGATCGCTGATCGCGCTTTCTCTCCCTGTGTCTCTGGGTCGCACTCCTCTTTGGAACTTTTCGGCTCGGATTACAGACGGTATAA